TGCGATGCTAAATAAATGATGATGATGATGATGATGATGATGTAGACTGAAAACTCAAACTGCGCTAACATTTTTTACAGTGTATATAGTGAAAGTCCTACCTAAGTTATTCCATTTATATGGAGGATATACAGCCTGGGTTTTCGCATTCATTTGTGTGCCATAGAAAATATAAAATGAAACGGGTTACAACACCTTCGTTTTTGTGGATGGGTAGGCATTAGTGGTGTCAATCGGAACTTGAATCTTCGGAATTCCGATTTTGTCCAATGTCCGATTCGGTATTCGGTTGGACAATGGCAGCAGGCTTTGGACAACTTTGGACAATCGCTTGCTACACCTCAACATTTTTAAAAAGTAGTCGTGTTTAACATTGATTGGCTATGAGAAAGCTCAGCTTTCGATATGATTAACACTTTTGAGCTTGTAACGGTACATGAAAAGCAAATTAAATAACAGTGTTGAGTGTAAACTATTGCGTAGGTGTCGGACATCTTTGGACAAATGGCTGGCTTGGACATTTTTGGACGGACAATCGACGTAAGCATTGGACATTGGACGGACTTTGGACAAACGTTTTCTGAAATTGACACCTCTAGTAGGCATTCTTTCAAAAAGGGATGAGTGGGAATGCAGATTAACATATCTGCATTTATGGAATGCAGATTAAGATCAAGATTAAGATGATCTGCAATCTGCATTCCTCTTATCCTTTATGGCATGTTTCGGCATAAGATCTGATAGAAGATGTGTCAATGTTACATCTCACGCTGAGAAAATATACACAAATCGTCCGCGGGTTGTCCAGATTGCTTTAACAGCAAACCAGAACTTTGGCAAATTAAAACTAGGTACCTACAATGTTTCATTCACGGCTCACATGTAGGAATGAAATTAACTTCCTGAACATGTGATCCGTTTTTCTGTATTTAGATGCCTCTTATATGAGAACAGGTGTTCGGGTTTTGAAGCACCGCCCGCGCGGGGTGACACAATTCTTCTTTTGATATTCCAGGTAGACCTCGGTTTCCATTTCGCTTTTCAATCTACGGACATTTAACGTGCTCATCCCCACTTACTTTGCTAATAAAATGTTCTAGTCACATGTTTTGCTGTTTCCACATCCATTCGTGTGATACTGATTTTTTTGCAGTTTTAGTTCGGAGGACGGTCACATCACCGAGGTAAGCTCTGCCCAATCTGCGGCTTTTCCCACGCGTTACAGCGGGCCACGTGTGGCCAGTCGAGAGCACCACCCACGCCTGTGCGGACCGCTGCGGACCGTTCCCAGAAGGACCGGTGGGTCGCCCACGCCGGCCGGTGACCACCATGGGATTACAGTCGAGGAAGCCCCCCCCCCAAACACGTGCCGGGGGAGGGAGGGGGGCACAGCCGGCCGGTTAGTCGGCCCACACACTCTAGCGGCTAACATACAGCGGACTGCGCCGAGCGGCCCGCCAGCTGGCGACCGAGCTAATCTGATCCACGGCCAGAGCGTGATCTCAGCGACCGTGATCTTTGGAGCAGTGATCTCAGCGACAGCGATCTGTGCCGGCCGCCCCCGGTCGGCGGCTGTATCTAGCCGCCATCAGATCGGCCCAGATCAGCCCGTGTTTTCCGACCCGGCCGGCGCTGAGGACTGAGGACTGAGCTCCGGGTGAGCGGCGCTGACCGCAGCACTTCAGAGGGGCCGCCGCCGCCCGCCGCCGACCGTGCGTCCCGCGGCGCGACATCGCCAGCGGCCCACGCACGCCGCAGGCGAGCTGACGGGCCGCTGAAACCCGCCCACACATGACACATTAGGTCATCGTTTGAGAAAACTGGTGTCGACGCAGGCGTGACATTTGACACACCGCCGTCGGCCAGCCAAACAGCCAGAGCATCGGCACTCAACAGAAAATACCTAATGTAACTAAAAGGTTAACCACCACAGACAGTCGAATCCAAGCTACCATGCGACGGGTTAGGCTTAGGCAGTTTCTACCCTGCCTTACTGTACGTATATAGGTAGGTACGAATAACGTGTCCCCCACATTTTAAAGACGCATGCGTGTGGACACACACACACACAACACCTGTCGAGTTATTTGTGCATCCACATACTCCCGCCCTACTATGCTAACGGCACTTGCACTGAGCTCCAACCAATGTTTGCCTAGGACCATAATGCCAATCTATAGGTATACCACCAAGAAGAGATTTGGGAGGGGCCAAATCGGATCTTACTCGCTGAGAAAAAAAAAAGTTTACCAACCTATGGAAACCAACCTTTATTCAGGATAAGACTCATCTCATGCTCAGGCAAACTAACATATTTAGGTACATACCAACCATGCCTTAAGCTGCTGTAGCGGGAAACCATCAAACGTTTTTCCTAAGCTAACTGAATGCACATTGCATAGATGCACAAGCCGTCCCGGTCCCGTAGCTCAGTTGGTAGAGCGTTGGACTCCGCGTGGTGAGAGCACGCGTTCCCGGTTACAACAGTCCCGGTTCGAAGCGCGACGGGCGCTTGACATTTATGGGCCTTCTGACAGGTATGGTTGCGGTTGGTGGCAGGCCGTAGCCAGGTGAAGTCATTGAGTGGACCGGCCGTGCGCGGCTATGTGCGCACATTAAACTTTGGACTCTAAATTCTGCCATAGAACTGGAATTGCGCGATCGGAGGGTAGAGGGCAGGATCAATTTATAATAAAAAAAAAATTATAATAAAAAAGCCAAGCTTTTAGTTTTCACTAGATAGGTACGTGATGGGATGGAGATAAAGAGGAAAACTGAAAAAAAAAACAAATTATGCACTAATGAGAGGAGATTTCATGTATATGGTCAAGCATGACTTATCATAATGGAAATCAGATGGAATAGGAACCTTTTGCTCATAACTATAGGGCGCTAAAACAAATCCAATATCTGGATTTGTTTTTAGCTTACCTACTTTAGTTATTGAGCAAAAGATTACCATTCTATATGGTTTACATTATAATCATTATCATGCTAAACAACGTTTCACACCATTCAAATGACTTATCTTTTTTTTTAATTTTGCATCCCCGCTAGCACAAGGCTATAGCAGGGGAAAGGGAAGTTGCTGGCTTGCTGGCAATGTGCCAGATCTTTTGCTTTACGGGTAAGTTGCCGGCTATTTTATTCCGGCCCAAGAGGCAAAGCAAAGACAAGCTTTACGTTAAACCGGCTCATGTGGCGTCTGGTGGGTTGAAAAACAAAGGGAAAGCTGAAAAGGTGCCAGATAGGCGAGACCGATAAATTTGGTTACTTACGTAGAACTTCCTGCTGAGACTTGCTGCTGATTTGTGTGCTGTTGTTTGGTGTGTGTGTGTGTGCTGTTGTTGTGCAGGGTGAACTTTTACCAGGAAGAGTCCTAACTAGAAAAAACCTGGTGCCTGTTCAAGAGAGCAAAAACCTGTGCGTTCAGCCAAAGTACCTACACAGTAAAAAGCTCTTTCTTTTGATTACGTTACGTTATATCACTATAGAAGTGGCATTGTATGTGGATTTGCGCGCAAGAGAAGTGCGCGGACTCACCAAATAAAAACCGGTCAGTCCGGCGACTCCTCTGCGGGTTATGGCAGCCGGTGTTAACCGGGTGCCACCAGCCATGTCCCTCCCGCCTTAGGGGTAATCAACAATCATCCCACTCGTGCATTAAACCCATTAATGCATCCAAAACCATGCGTTAAGTGATGATAATGCCTAGGATATCGAGGACGCATACATTTTAGAAGAAGGCAAAATCCATATTGCCTGGCTGAAAGCTGCAAACAAATATGTTTAAAGGAACTTTTTCGATTTTGAACGCTTACGATCCTAAAGCTACCGATTGGCTGTTCACTGACGGATCGGGGGCGGGGGCGGGGGAGGAAGGAATAGGGCCCTTGGATCCTAAAACGATGAAAAATAACAATTTGCCTCGATTAGAATAACCGTATTGTTTACATTGGTTGTTTACAATGGAAAAAGTGAAAACGAAAAAAAAGTGTTCAGTTTTTTTAGTTAGATTTTTTTTTGAGAGTATGCCCCCGCATCATCCAATAGCGCCTTTCTAGATCCACTAGTGTGCCGACTACCCTGTTTTTGTTTTCATAGATTGATTCATGAATCCGTCAACAATAAAACAAGAAGTAAGAGAAATAAAAAGAAGTGAACTGTAAAACGAATAAAAATGCCACAGCCCGTGAGCTTAATGATGTAGGACTTAAATGTACTTAGGACTTAGGTAAGGTGAGCAGCTTTGATAGATCATTGCAAATTTCTTCGCCAAAGCGTGCAGAAAACTGGCCACTGGTAATGTTGGAGGCGCTGCGGGGTCCTATTTCCCACAAAAAGTTGCCTATGTTTCCGAATGCCTAAAGGATTTTGTTGCCTTATGCGCGATTACTGGGTGCTGCAAAAGGAACAAATGCCCTAAATTCACTCTTGAAGTCACCAATGACGCTCAAATGCATTAAATTCGAGACGCCAACCGGAACCGTAGGATGAGTACGGAGCGCCGATCCCTGTCGCCTGAATGGTCACACTGTGCCGGATGACACGCCTGTCTCGCGGCACAGTGCGACGATCCAGGCGATAAAACGGAAGACTGCATTGCTGCATAGGACAGTAACACCGCGCCGCGTCTCTGCCCGCTATCAGGACCGGCTGAAGGAAGGGTGGCATCGCTCTGCCGTTGGTTCCGGAGTTCGGAGCATATCCCGACTGCTATCGGACGGAGCCGGGCCGCGGAGCCGAGCTGCACAAAAACACAGCCGACTCGCCATTCGAGGAGCGACTGTCGCCGCCGCCTCCCTGGGAGCTCTCGCAGTCTGTGCGGGGTGCGGCGGCGGCCAGCGCGCAGCGGCCGGCCGCGCAGCAGGCCCCGCCCCGGCGCCGCCCATTGGCCGGCGCGGCTCCAGTTACCATAGCTGCGCGGCGCAGCCGGCCGGCGAGGCCCCGCCCCCGGCCGCGGCGGTCGCCGCCGGCCGCCGCCGCCGCCACGAGCGCAGTGACGCCGCGGTGCTGACGGTGGTAGGGCGCACGCTGAACGCCGGAACGGCATACGGGCTACCGGGAGACGGGGAGAGCGCAGGGGCGCGGCGGGAACGGGAGCAGTGCGCTGAGGAGCGGGGCACCTCACCAACAGACACCATGATAACGTGCTGTGCGGCGTGCGACAAGCCCATTCTGGACAAATTCCTGATGAATGTTTTGGAGCGGACTTGGCACGCGGACTGTGTGCGGTGTTTCGACTGCCACGTCAACCTCACAGACAAGTGCTTCAGCCGGGAAGGCAAGCTGTTCTGCCGGGACGACTTCTTCAGGTGAGTGTCGGCTGTCGGCTGTCGGCCGCCGCCGCCGCCGCTGGTGTCACGTGTTTGACGGCGATCGGCGCGCCGCTCGCATGTCGGCCGTTCATTTGGGGGCGGTAATGTATTCCGCGAAGTGTGTGGTTATTCAAGGCGAGGATGCCGTTTATCAAGCTAAGTGGTTTGATGTGAACAGCCGCAGTGTTGGCTTCGCACGGCAGTTCCAGCGATCGGCGCCGGCCGCCGCTCCGGAGAGGCTGCCTCTCTCAGTCTCGGGGGTGATTTGTTTCCTGAAATGGCCGCGGCGCCCTGGCCGCTGTCGTGTCGGCCGCTCGTCTCCGCTCTCCCGAGGGTGTGTGCAGTCGCCGGAACTTCCCGCCATCTCTGTTTATATGATCTATGACATCGCTGAGATCTCTGTGAAATGATCGCCGCTGATCTCTAATGTTTAGGTATCTCGGTCGGCACTATATATACGGTTGTTTGCATAACTCCCATATCGGTTCCCCCGGCCTCAGACCGGTGTCAGCCGGCAGAAGGTCGGCAGAGCAGAGCAGACTTGGTAAAGCATCTGACGCCTGGAAAACAGCTTCGCGCGGCCCGCCTATACGGCCGACAGACAGCGCTGGGGGCCCGCCAATGACATTTCATATGCGGCGACCGGCGCCATAAATAACAACCAAATTACAGGCAAAACAGTCATGCTGGGTGGGCGGGGACATTCTCATGACTATTCATGCCGTTCCGTTTGTTTGTGGCCGTGTTTTCCGTCGCCCATTTGGCCGCATGTGCCGTGTTCGGTTGTTTACTGCCGGGGTGGCATCCGTTCCGCGGCGGCTGTGCGCTGTGCTGACCGGCGCGGCGGCTGTGACCCGGGTGCTCCCTCCCCGGCGCTGTCCGTGCTGACCCAGCAGCACACAGAGCGGTGGTTGTGATACCGGCTCGATGGGAACGCCGCGAGCCGTGCCGCGCGCGACATCAGAATGAATCAGAGGCGTGACCGGAGCCAAAACACGGCCCGCGGCGCCGCACAGCGCGGACACCACGTCAGCGGGGTCCGTCCGCTGCGCGGCCCGCTGGCCGGGCGCCGAGCACGACTGAGCGCGGCAGAGTCCAGAGAAACTCAGCAGGGCCGAGGGCCGACCAGGCACAGACGCCTGATCACAGCAGAGGGCGGACCGGACACCGAGGCCTGAACACAGAGCACGGCAAAAGGGTGACCGGGAACTGAGGACTGCACAATGTCGGACGGTGATGAAAATAAGAGAACCTGGCGCTATGCGGAAGGCTGGCGTCGTCATACGCTGGCTGGCGCAGGCGGTCCAGTTAAAAAAAAATGGCTATAATTTATTTGGTTCCTGCATGTTGTGTTGACTTTTTTGTCGCAGAAGCTTGCGCAGAGGTGCAATTATGCTGTGCCCTACTGGTTGGCAAGAAACATTTATATGTGATGAAGGAAGTGAAGCTGGACAGGGCACCAGCGGTAGGCGGTGAACCTCCATTGTTTTCCTGAACTAATTGCTTGTTGTCACGTGTGCTTTTAAGATGCAAATGAAATATTTATTCATGCGAGCGTGAGAGGTGGTTCCCCTTGCATGGAATCCTTACATAAGCGTATGCAAACAAAAGTGACCTACACGGTACCTCCCTGACAATTTTACTGATGTCGCCGATCTCCGCACATTTCTGCTGACCCCTTCCATGTCTCGACTGGTGCATAGTCTTCCTCCCATATTTACTACGGCGTTGTCGGCTCCGTCCCTCGGTATCACGCCATTTCCCTCCATCTTGTGCCGCTACCAGTGTCGGTACGATCCGCCAGTGTCGGTACGACCCGCCGGTGTCGGTACGGACAGCCGGGCCGCGGCCCGTGTCGGCGCGGTCGGACACGCCGCCCGGCCGCCTGCCTGCCGGGTTTCCCGCCCCGACACGACGAACGGCGCGCGGAGCTCCCCGCGGTCAGCGCGGCCGAGGGAGTGTGGTGACCAGCCCGGCGGAGCTCCCCGCGGCCAGCGCGGGAAGTAAGCGTAGCGACCAGCCCGGCGGAGCTCCCCGCGACCAGCGCGGCTGTGGGATCCAAGTGAACAGCCCGGCGGGTTACCACCGCGATAGCTAATCTCTGGAAATGGCCGTATATTGGAGGTATGTTGGATTGTGATGTTGATGTGGAATATCCGTTCCATGGCGTTTCCTTAATTCTGATAAAGCTCGTCATTGCGATCCCACATCAATAGGTACCCGCACCCACTAGTTTTCCCATCCGCTGTTATTTGCGATCCTGTTGGCACTCATCAACTGGTGGCTTCCTACATGCCGAGAAGCCTCGTCTACAAGACCCGATGTGGCTTTTTGTGGGATAATAAGATATCCTAAACAAACTGGTGGGGAGGATCGGCCGTCCAGCTGCAGTGCGGTGGAACTAATGACGAGCGTCGGCGCCTCAGCCGGCCGAACCTGCCCATTTGGGGGCGGGCCGGGCGCCACTTTGGTTCGCGCTCTGACCACAGACTGGTGCCCCTGTCGGCGGCCCGCCGCCCCTGCTCGGGCCGCGCACGGGAGCCGCAGCCGGAGCCGGGAGCGCCGGCCGGCGGCGGCCCGTCTGCCGTTCGTGACCACTGTCAGTTACGGAGGGACTGCCCGGGGCTGTACCGGGGTACCGCCGGCGGCTCCCCGGGACTCCACTGGGGCTATAGCCGGGGCGACGGTGCCGCCGCCGCGCCACTCTCACACGGTGGCGGGGGTGTCAGGAGCCCACCAACACCTTCGGGGATGGATCGCACGCAGAGGAGCGGCGTGGTGTCACTGGGGAGAGACGCGCTGGGCCGTCCACTGAAGATGTCCGGTCTTGGCTCTCGGTCTGAGCGGTGGTGGTCCGACTGGGACCGACGACCATCAGACGGTAGTCGCTCCCAACACTCCGCGTCAGCGAATTACCAGCTGCTGTCACTGAATATATGGTCCACCATGACGTAATCAATAACGTGGTGGTGTATTACCTGTAAACGGCCCCAGAATAACAGTATTTCAATAAAATCGCCCTCCATTATGGCTCATCAAAGAGCGCGTGTGAGCCGGTAATGTCGAAACAATGTACATTTGGTGCGGCCGAGCCGAACTGTTGGACCGCTCCTTTTGATCTGTCCGACGGAGGTGTGAGGAAGTAGATACGGCGGACGACAGAGCGAGAAAAAAACACAGCAGGGTCGTGCGAACCGGCCGCCGGCCACGATGGCCAGTAATGACAGCAATTCGTCCGGTGGCTGTGGATTTAATGACAGCGTCCCGGCCGTAAATGGCTAATTGTTGTCTCTGAGCGGCGGCGCGGTGTGGCGCGCTCTCTCCGGTACGCGTCTGGTTCCCCGGACCCGTCTGTCTGCTGGTCAGGTGCCTCCGGTACCGGAGCGGTACGGTACAGTGGTGGGACCAGCTCTGTGGACCTTCCCTAAACAGCAGCCCCCTCTGAGGAGAGAAGTACCCACATCTACACCATTTGTGTAGCAAACACGGCGAGCTGTGAGCCAGTGTACAAGCGACACAAGCGTCATAACCAACGTGTAAATATGTAGAGTTTATGTTTCGACCCCTCAAGTGGACATCTAGCTTGTTACGTCTGTATTAAATTCCACCCCATTAGATTAGTGCGGCACAGGATAGCTTCTACTGAAATAAGCACAGTTTAATGCAGAAAAAATGGATAGGGGAAGTTGGGGCAATGCCGGAGTTGGGGCAAAGCCGAAATTCGAGATATTTCGAAAACCGTAAGACATGGATGCCACCTGTCAGTGATGCTCTGAAGCTTAAGTGACTACAATTATCGCATGTTTGTTACGAGTCGTCATTCGGAATACTTCGACTGTGAGGGCGCCAAGAGCGTTTTCAAGGTACGTTTCCCTTGTACTACATGCGCCTTTGAAGCTGCATTTCTTACTCATTATGCTACCGTTTGTCTGGCCAGTTCGGTCAAGTAATCTTTAGCATGTCTTTGCATAAGTGTGCTGCCTATTTGAAATTTATACAGCACGTTGAAAAGTTATGGGCCTGCAAATGAAAGTATGGCAGGCTGGGGTAATGCCGAAAACGTGCGATTACGCACGTGTTAAAAGCACGCTACGTGGACTTTACTGCTGTAGAATAGCAACGCGTATTTTTAGTCACACAAATTACACTTTCAACCGACACAACGGCCTGTTACCTATAAGGAATGATTTACCTGGCATGTTCTTATTATATCACACAATTATAACTTCCAGTGTGCACCGCGTCCTCAAGCTCTTAAAACGCGTGTCAGCTTTGATCAATTCTGGATAAAGTTTGAGATAAAATGGCAAAACATCAATGTCGGCATTCCCCGTAGATCATTTCTCCCATTTTCGGCTTTCCCCGCAGTCCGGGGCAACGCCGAAAAAGTCACTTCTTTGATATTTTTAGTTTGTGCGCTTAACGGTATGCGAATTCATCAAATGCGCCTGGTATGTTTGAAAGGCAAAAGACTGGCCTCTCGAATGACGCCAACAAGAATAGCTTATGTTGTCTACCTTGCGTGCTACGGGCGTCAGAAAAAAAGTCTTCGGCGTTCCCCCAACTTCCCCTAGTGTTCAAATAAGCTAAGTTGATGGTGTTGATTTATATTTACTCGTGTTCATATCATTTTAAACATGCTTGAGCGAAGACAGTTTCTATGATTCAAGGATATTTACAAAGACTGATCATTTATTTGAATTTTATTAAAATAACAACTTATTCTTTGTGGTCACTCATATTTCACTGGTGGCCCGACGCCGCACATTTGCCCGCCACTCCACCGTGCGTGTCTCTCTGGCGGACCGTCTGGCAGCAGTTCCGACGCGCTGCCTCCAGCACCCACCCGCCCGTTCGCACCGTAAATTCAGCCTAAATCTTTTCCGAACAATTAAATCAGCGCCCATTAGCGGGGCTGGGTGTCGCCTAATATAGAGTTAGTGCGCCGGCTGTCGACGGCCCGACGGCTCACCGAGGCCGCTGGAGCTGAACGGGGCTGCTGGAGCTCACCGGAGCTGCTGGAGCTCGTTGGCAGCCATGCTGCCTCGCGATGAGTCGGCACCCGGGGCGGTCGCCGCTGAAAGTGACAGAATTACGAGTCAGGGGGAGCTGCGGCGGCCGTGAACGGCTCCGGGACTGAGCCGCGCAGAGACCGGTGGCGGCGGAGGCGGCGGCGCGGGGTCGGTGGCTCGCTCCGGCCGCCACCTTCAGAGGCCGCCGCCGCCGTGTTTACGGCAGCAGTGAGCCGGCACAGAGAGCATACCACAAGACAGGCGGGCGCAGAAGGGCCCAAAAGGGGGACTGAGCAGCTGACGGGCCGGTCCCGTTACCGGCAAACACGCACAAAACGGGCGCCCCGCCGGCGCGGCGCGCGGGCGCGGGCCGCCCGGCGCGCCGAATAGCTGACCTCCAGTCGACTGTGTCATTGGGCCAGTGTCTCCGGCGGGAGGCTTTGTGCGCGGGCCGTGTCGTCCTCGGCGCCTGGAGCCCCCCGCCGGGCCAAATGAGCAGCCATCTGCCGGCCCACCTGACTGGGGAGTTCGCTCCGCGCCCCCGAGCCGCCCCTGCGCCCCCGAGCCGCCCCTGCGAGCCCCGAGCCGCCCCTGCGCCCCCGAGCCGCCCCTGCGAGCCCCGAACCCACCCTGCCCACGTCACCTCCCCGCCGCATCTCGGCGCCCATCTCACCGGCAGAACAGCTGCGGCGGCCAGACCGAACGGGGTGGACCAGCGAGCTGAATTGGCGCCGTCCGCCACCGCTGTCCTCACTCGGCTTCGGCTGCTACCGCGGGACTCTGCTCTGTTCGCTCTGTCTGTTCCAGCCTGGTGTCGGCTGCAATATATGTTAGACTATGTCATGTGCATCGTATAACTAATGTGTAATACACACTGCAAAGCTATGCGTAGCGCCGCTGCTGCTTAGCTGGGTGCTGTGGGACAGAGCCCGATCGGCCGACTCAGGCGACTTGCCCAATGCCCGACTCAGGCGACTCGGGTGACTCTGGCGACTCGCCCGACTCAGGCGACTTGCCCGACTCAGGCGACTCGGGTGACTCTGGCGACTCTGGCGACTCGGTCGACTCTGGCGACTCGGCTGCGCTGGCGGCGTTTCCGGGCAGGAAGTCTCTGCTCCCAAACTAACGGAGAGAAGACGCTGGCGCTCCCAGCCGCAGATTGGATCGCATTTTTGTTTAAAACTCCGCCGGAACGCCGCGGAGAACAGGGGCGAGCCGGGACGCGCGGCCGGCGTCTTTTTTGCCCGATTTCACTGAGGGTATGTGGCCGCCGCTGCCGGCCGCCGCACAATGACGGAACACGACCCAGGAATGTCGGACCACGAATATCGCCCGCTTTGGCCACATTCTGGCCGGCGCATGCCTGAAAAGGCTTGCGGTCGGCCTTTGGGGCGGCGGGGCCGGCGGCTGCTCTGGGCTGGCCGGTGTGTTCGGAGCTGCCGCCGGCCGCCACGGCCCGCTGGACTCACCGGAAACCGGCGGAGAGGCCGGAGCGCGTCCAGCGGAGGCCGACACGGCGCCGTCACTCCGACTGCGACCCGCGCGTGACCACCGTGTCATGGGTGTGACGGCCGTGATGCCGCCGAGATGACATCATGACCGCCACACGAGCTGACGGTCCGCAGCGGTGCACTGGGAACGTCAGAGGTGGCCGGCGGCCTGGCAAAGCGGATGTAGCTGCCACCCGGCCGCCCTGCTCGGCGGCGCTGCACAGCCGACCGGCCCCCTGACGGACAGCCGCCGCCGCCGCCCCCGCCGGGCGCTCACCACTAATCGCCGCCCAGGTGCCCTGCCGTGCCGCCGGCACAGTCCAACAAACTAAATGCCTGTAATTTGATGGCAAATCAAAGGCAGAAGGTCCTAATTTGTCTCGGCGGCGCGACGAAAAGTGGCGCGCCGCGCCGTGCCCAGCCGCTGTTGACAGAGCCGCCTTGCGTGCCGATGATAGCCCGATAATTAAACCGTTCCCGGCCAGTTCGGAGAGCGGCGGACTTTTTGCGGCCGGCGAGGGACGCTGCGGCCATCAGTCGAGCTTTACTCACTGCCAGCACGGAACTCGTGTGCAAAACAGCCGCGGCCGCGCGGCGGAACAGCGCCCGGCCGGCGTCGTAACGCGCCGCCGCGCCGCGCCGCGCGCCCATCCGCGGGTAGCGGCAACACGCCATCAGGGCTTAGTAAGCACGATCGGGCGTGCATGGCACCCGCTGGGGCCGGCTCGGGTCGGCGCGGGTCACGACCGGGGCGCCCGGCAGAGGAGAGTGGCGAGCGCGGCCTCCGGGCGGCCGCCTGGCCCGCCAGTCGGTCACGTGGCAATGAGGCGGGTCACGCCGGGTCAGCAGAACAGGTCAATTAGGGACTGAGTACTTGAGGTGAATGAGAGCTCCTCCCGTGCCGCGTGGACAAGTTATCACAGATGAATGGCTCGTTTCCAGTGACTGACGCATTCCGAGTAAGTCGCTTGTTCGCCAATGGAGTTCCTCTTCCCACTGATCCGTTTTCGTGTGTTTTGGCCCACTCAATGAATCCCGGGGCCCATTCTAGGCCTGATTTACGTTCCGTCCAGTGCTGCTCCCGTCAAGCCGTCGTTCGGACCGCCCCACCGATGGTACCCTTCTAAGGCGATTCGTTACGGGCGTCGATAGCGCCGTCCGACGGTAACCTAATGAATACGTGTGTGCGGCTGCCCTCCGCTCACTGAGAGGCGCGGTGTGCGGCTGCCCTCCGCTCACTGAGAGGCGCGGTGTGCGCGCGTCTGCCCTCGGCTCACGCAGAGGCGCGGTGTGTGTGTGCGCGTCTGCCCTCCGCTCACTCAGAGGCGCGGTGTGCGGCTGCCCTCGGCTCACTCAGCAGTCAGCAGCGCGGTGTGTGTGCGACTGCCCTCGGCTCACCCAGAGGCGCGGTGTACCTCCGACAGTCAGCCGGGCCGTGATAGCTCTATGATCGGCCGCTCGCCACACGATGACGAGAATTTTGATTTCCCCCGGCGCGGTGATGAGATTAGTGTAAGCAGCTTACACTGGCGAGCGCAGCGCGCGCCCGTCGGCCGCTTCTGCCGGCGGCGCGCCGGATTTGCCGGATCCGCTTGGAGCGGCGCGTGGCGCGTTACGCTGCTATTGACTTGAAATAATGAGACCAGAAATTGAGCCTCGGGCGGCTGGCTGCGGTGTCGGCGGCGGCTGGCTGCGGTGTCGGCGGCGGCGGAACAGATCGGCTCGGGGTTTTATCCCAGCCTCTCCTCCTCCTCTGTCGACGTCAGCGGTACATGTGTCCCCATCTCTGCCAACAAACAAAGAGGATGAGCTCCAAATCCGCGTAACGTCATCAGCTGCGTAAAAACGGCAGCGGTGGCGGCGCGGGGCTCCCACACGGTCGACTGACTGGTGATCCGCCGCTATACCCACAGGCAACGCGGTTATGCCGACTGACTGACTATAGTGTGCGTTGTGGTACTGCAGGGCTGGCTGCCTAGTGCCTAGTGTATGATATTGTTGTTGCAGGATCGGATTCGGGTGTGCATGATGCGGGACTGACTGTATGCTGTTTGCTGTTGCAGGAGATACGGCACCAAGTGTAACGGCTGTGGCCACGGCATCTCACCACAAGACCTGGTGCGGAAGGCGCGCGAAAAGGTGTTCCACCTCAAATGCTTCACCTGCCTGGTCTGTCGAAAACAGCTCTCCACCGGCGAGGAGCTGTACGTGCTCGATGAGAACAGGTTCATCTGCAAAGAGGATTACATCAGCGGCAAGAGTATGCCAGGTGAGTGCGTCAGCGCCGCTCGGCCGGGCCGGGGTGGGGTGGGGTGGGCGGCGGCTGCGATAGATGGCGATGCGTGAGCTCGACACGGCCAGTACTAACGGGCTGCGGACCGGCCGATTTGCATGATTTATCGAACCGCCGCGCACCGACGTATTGGCAGCTGCGAGCGCCGGCCAAGATACACGTGCGGCAGTTACTATCAGTGAGCGGTATAAATTCCGCCCCGGGCGCCGGGTCACGGCACTCCCTTCCGTCCCCCGCCCCTTCCCTGAGACTGCGTGAACCGGCCCGTGTGGCGAGACATTATTTCCACCATTCAGCTGTCATAACGTGCGTCTGTAAAGCACACTTTGTAAAGTCAATGAGTGAACCGACATGTGCGCCTCCCATTTGGCGGAATTTGCCGCCGGCAGTGTTTCCGAGGGGCCGGCCGCGCTCGTAAAACAATACACTTTATGGCCGTGTGACGGTGCCGCCCAGACTGGCGTCACACAGTCGTGACGCACGGAACCCGCCGCGAGTGACACCGGAGTGGGCTCGTTCCCGACGCCGGACTCACAAAAATGGCCCTAGCACGCCGGTGGGCGGTGTTACAGGTAATAGCTTGCATGTTGCATATATACCTACCCAACTGCAAGCCTGCTATCCGTTAATATAAGAATGGCGATTTTAAAAATAAAAGAATGGCGATTTTCAAGTGTCATATGATGTTAAACATACATCCACCAGCACCACGGTATAATTCCGCAATGTTTTGCCGCTCTGTACTCCGTGCAGTCGGCGGTCGGCTCTGCGGTCGGCCTGCGGTCCGCGCCGGCAGACGGACCAAAGAGGCCGACACCGGCCATCGCGGCGCGCCACAGCGCCACATCTGTCTGATACGGGCCGCCCGCTGGTGGCGACTGCCAGCGCGCCGCAGGACCGCCGCCGCAGCGCCGTAACTGGCGCGCCGACAGCTTGCAGCGCCGCGCCGCCGCCACATATTAATAACAAATCGCCAATCGAATTTGCATAGCGGGCCAGTTAGTGAAGCGTCGGCGGCAGCGCGGGCGGCGCTGGCGGCAGCGGGGACGCGGCGGCGACCCCGCCGCTGTGCTCGTGACGGCTGACGGACAGCCGATACTATCAGCCGCCGGACCGGGGAGGGGCCGCTGAGCGCCGGGACCGGACACCCGCGGACCCGGGCCGGGGTCGCCGAGCCCTGCCGCGGGACCGGGCGACCCCAGCACACCCACCGTCCGCTGAGTCGCCGGAGGGGTCGGGGCAGAGCGCCGGTCCCGCTGTCCCGCTCTCTCTCTGCTGTCCCGCTCTCTCCCGTCCCCTGCTGTCTCCTGTCTCCACCGTCACCGCTGGTGGGCACCCACCCGTGCGTGTGGCGCGGTTCAACAATGTATCGCACCATTTTCGAGTTGGCTGGCCCCATTGTGCGCCGCGGGCGGCAGGTGGTCGCGTTTTTAGCCGCGCTCCCCCCGCCGCCGCTGCACCGCCGTGACGTATCAATAGCTATCGGAGCAGCCGCCGGCGGCCGCGGCTCGCAGCAGTCTAGGGAGGCGCGTCTTCCCCCGGTCGAGGAGGCTGAGCCCGTCTTCAGCTCTGGCGGCTCCAGCCTCCGCAGTTGGTCTGCGGGCTGTCCGAGCGCTGCGGTCCTGCCGGCCGCGGCTCGGCGGAGGAGCGCGGCGCACGGCTTTCCAGTCCGGCAGACGCCGAGTCTGATATCAGCCGTATATTCAGCCGATGCAGGGAGGCCGGAATATCTAATGGCGCCGGTCGGCTGCAGCCGGCGATAACTCATCCCGCCGGCCGGGCAGTGCCGGCCGTGCGGCGGTAAAAATCGCAAAGCACCGTCAAGAACAAGGGAAACTATTTTAACAAGCGCTGATTGCGGCGATGCGGCGGTGGAGGCCGTGTCGCGGCTACCGGTCACTGCCGGCCGCGCCAGGGTCGTGCGCGTGCGTCCCCACCCGATGGCTGACCCGATAGCACGGCCCGGAGCCGTGTCCGGCAGGGGTGCCACCCGTGACTGGGCAAGGCACCACCTGCCGCGGCCGCGCGGACGGTCGCACGGACTGACAGCCCCGTCACAGGGACTGACGGGACGGTCACAGGGACTGGCGGGACGGTCACAGGGACTGGCGGGACGGTCACAGGGACTGGCGGGACGGTCACATGGACTGGCGGGACGGTAGGTAAAGAACGGCGACGGAGGCGGAGCATTTATCGCCCTCTCGGCCCCGTCAGTCAGCCAGAGAGACCCCCATGCTCGTGAATCTGCCAGCGTTGTGTGGTTTCACAAGAGGAGTTTCAGGCTTTTTACGACTCGACAGTCTTCTTTGATGGTGGCGATGTTTTATTCCGTGCCACTGACAACGATCTTCATATGACGGACAGGCATACCTGCCTGCATTTCATCGCTGACGTTCGCTCTGCAAATCAGCTGTGGCGTCGTTACCTTATCGGGGATTTTCTTTGAAAGACCACCGAGGGCATGCGTGGGCGTTTCGCTTTGGATTATTGTATTTTCTGGTATTTCCGACCAAAAATGGCCGCATCTGTGAATCTATTTAAGGCTCCCATCCATCCCTCCGACCATCCACCTGAGCCGCGTTACCGCAAATAGGCGAATCCATTGTCGGATTTCCCACCCGCTCCGTCCCGGCGTTCTCGCCGTCCCAAAACACACCGGTGCGCAGGCCGGTTTGTATTCATTGCGCCCTGCAGCTAATTTAGCGGTGCTGTATCCGAGCGGCATGGCGCAAGCGCAGGGTTATGGAATACCTCAGCTGTCCTGGGCGTCGCATAACGTCAGAGCTGTACCTATTTACCGGTGAATATGTCGTGTGAAACCGGGCGGCGGCCGCAACTCCCCTCTGTGAGCGGGCTGGGTGCTCACTGCTCACCGTTCCGGGCCGGACTCGTGTCATGTCGGCCGGCCGTTAGGCCACCGATTATCGGGAGGGTGCCGGGACCCGTGTGGAGCTCTCGGCGAGTGTGAACACGACCCCTGGTCCCCCAGGCCAGCACTAGGGTCTCACCAGGCCAGCACTGCAGGGTTCCAACACGGTGCGGGTCCGCTACGGCGAGTTAGGACCAACCGGCCCCGGGTGCCGCCACGACCAGTCGCTCTCAACACTGTCACAAAATCCGGCCTGGACCACGGAACTCTTCTATTGTCACAACTCGAAGGATCATAGAGTTGGATTCAAAGAGGTGAATTTAATCCTGACGTTGTCAAAGCTGGCTGACACCGGCACAAAATCAATCCTCCCTATTGACACCCAGCCCTGACGGGACTGCCGCTCAAACAACTATTTAGTAAGTAACCCATTCAAACTCTCGGGGCAGCTAGCTAAATATTTACATGCAAAAGCTAACCGTTAGAGATTGAGAGTTCAGCGCGTTCAAGCCCACGATAAGGTCACATAGTCTACACGCCTGGGCTCCTGTTCTCTGACGCGGAGCCGAACATTGAGAGTGGCTTCATCCGGAGACTGGCTGATTTGTCCGATAGCATCTGTCCTTGTACGGCCGAGCGACTGACGGACGGCGTGACCGCGGACCAGTCAATAGCCGCAGTCCAGTCAGTCGCCCCCGTCCAGTCCAGCCGCCGTCACAGTCACGGTTGTCGGTCGGTGGACGGACAGCCTCTCTCTCTCCGCTCGACCGCCGCTCGGTAGGTTTAACCGTCTGCCGGCGCCCCGTGATCCGTGATCCCTGGTCCGTGCGCCGGTCACGGCGGACCGCCGCTCGTGACCCGGGGTCCCCGTGTCGCCGGGACGCGCCACGCACCGCCACGTCCCCGCACAGCGGCGGTGTGTCGCGATATACGGCCGCGCGCCGGGTCCGCCGTCATGCCGCGGCGCGCCGGCATTGTCAAGACCCGGCTAATGATGCCGAATTTGTCTCATTATCAGCCATTCGTCTGCAGTTTATGCATCCGTGCAGAATTGCACGCGGAGTCGGTAAATCGTGAATGCAGACGGTCGGCCTGTCGCGGCAGCGCGAGTTGTGGCCATCTGACTGGCAGTGGCAGTGGCGGTGGACGGGCCCGGTTGGGCGGTGGACGGGGCCCGGGTGAGCGCCGGATGGGGCCCGGGTGGGCGGTGGACGGGGCCCGGGTGAGCGCCGAGACTGCCGGCAGGGTGTGTTGAGGAGGCGGCGAAGGCGGTGGAATGGAACCTCAGGTGGAAGCCCAGGTGGAAGGGTTGCGTCACATTGGTACGGAGGAGGCGGAAAGTAGATTGGAATCTCCGATCACCCTCGTATCGTATGCTAATCGTCAGCCGGCGTGGGCTCGTCAGCCGGCGCTGTAACTCCTCCGCCGGCTCTGCGGCTGGGCGGCGCGAACAGAGGGAGGCACAGCTGCACGGAAGGGACTCACCGTCTCCACGGGCCGCCAGGAAACGATCGGCACGACCGGTGCCGAATTACTGCCCATCGGCCCAAACCAGTTCTGGCTCAATCGGCGGCGGTTCAACCACCGCGCTCCGGTGCCATTCGTGTTTGTCGGAGAGCGAGCGCCGCCGCCGGGCTGGCCGCCGGAACCCGGCCGATTGTTCCTTTGTTGTCTTCTCTCCGCGGGTTCACTTCCTTCATTCATCCCGCTGGTGACGCCGACCGGTCCCCGTTCCAGGCGCTTTAATAATTCATCTAATTGGCCGCGGGGATCGGGGAACAATCTGATTCACGCCGGCTATGCCCGGTCGGCGCTGCCTCTGAGGTTCACCAGCTCTGGTCGGCAGCTACCCCTGAGATTTCCTACCTCCGGTCGGCAGCTACAGATGGACTGGACCGCATCTCACCACCGACCGAGGGCATCTCAAGAGACTCACTGATCACTCCGTACCTCTAACACACGGCGGTCGCGGTGGTCGGCTGTTGCATGTTGCAAACAGCAACGTATCAGAGAGGCTTCATCAGGAGCGATATAATCTGCTAGTGATGTCACGGACGACGGTCGTTATCTGGCAGACTTGGGAGATCTCGGAGCTCTCAATAGGCACACAAAAATCAATCTCTCCCGTCAAATACTGGCTCTGTGAACTGTTAACCTGGAGCCCATTAGGTGGGCGGTTATCACCGCGCGTCCATTGTCTAATGATCGGAGACTCTATCCACTCCATTATGTCACTGATCCGCGCCGGGTGGCCGGAAGTAGTGGGATGTGGCCGGCTGGCGGTCAGCGGTGCCCGGCGCGGTGCTCCCCGGCCGGCCGCTCGCCGTCGGGACCGTCCGGCCGGCCGCCGGGCGGAGTCGGCCCCGGCTGATGGACGGGCGGGGCGGAGACCGCCCGTTCGCGACCGGATTCCGCATTAATCACCGGCCGCGCGCGCTAAAACTATGCGCCAAAGACAAAATATCGCGCACTGATGGATGGGGGCCGGCCGGCCGGCCACCGCGCCGGCTGAAGGGTTAGGCCCGTAATCAGGGGCCGGGCCGGCGCGGCGCGACGGGGCGCTGCCGAGCGCCGCGCCGCGCCCGCCCGTCCGTCCACCAGCTAAAAATGTCCCTGTCCGAACGGTATCCCAAGTATGCGGTTCCTGTCGCAAAAGGCGGGTCCCAGGTGAGGTAATGTCTCGAGTGGCGCGGCCCGGACGGTCCCAGGGCCGGGCGACGGCTCACGGTCGGCTCGGGGCGGCTGGGGCACCTCCGTCTCGGCCGGGCCGTCTGCCGGCTGTCGCCCGCGCAGCTCGCGACTGACGTCCGCCGATAAACGGCGCAATTTCCGCCACTGCGCCGCCAGCCAGAGCCCGGCGGCGGCGGCGGCGGCGGCGGCGGCGGGGGCGGCCAACTGGAGTCAACGACAATCGTATCCGGGGTTGATGAGACCGGCCGCGCGGCGCCCCGCCGCCGACCGGCTGTTTATGGTGCTTCCATGCCGGCGCTTTTTACGATCCATCGGAAAATGGTGCAGACAGATCGCACAAAGGCAGTCACCTGGCCTTCCTGCCATTCAACAACAATCATGCAACATTACGCCACTGAGAGCGTACTTTTCGGCTGCAATATTCCCTACGTAATTGTCTCTGTCCGACCGGCGTACCGAACAATTAGGTAAACGATGTTCACACTAAAAGGATTCACCTTGAAATTTATGAAGGCAATTTACAAATAATTGTATGATAAATCGTTTCTGTTTCGCCGCTTTCAATGGGGGAACAAGCGATTATACCCGGCGAAATAGGCGTTTTATTTATACTGAAACCAGTAAATAATTTTCCCGTCGGGGAATGAAATGACCTAGTTGACAGGCGTCTGCTCGTTGCAAGGAAGCCATATCATCAAGAGAGCACACATAGTGCGGCTGACGCTGGCTGACGGATATGCGATATCCCGCCGTGGAGGGGGGAGGGGTGTCGTTCCCAGGCAGCCCGCAGCCGTCCGTTCCGCCGGCCGGGGTACGTGTTTTATGTCCGTTCAGTCACAGTGGGCGCCCCGGCCGCCATCAGTCATGCCGGCGATCTGTTTTGGCCGGCTGGCTCCGGCTCCGGCGGCGGCGGCGGCGGCGCCTCGCGGCCCGCCGGGCCTCGGGTCGGCCCTGGCCAGCACCCGTTGCGTGTCGGCGGGCGGACCTCCTAATTTCGAGGAGCCGGGGTGCCGGTGGCGGCGCGGGGCCGGCCGCCGCCGGTCCACCCAGTGGCCGGTCGGCCGGCCGCAATGGGGCGCCGGCACGCGAGAGAAACCGGCCGCGCCGTTCGACCACCGGATAACTAGACGTTTCACACATCTTGCTGCTTTATGGAGGCGGTCTGCCGGCCGGTGCCGGTCTCAAATTGCAGTCATCCCGTGCCGCGCCGCCGCGCCGGCCGCATTGCTCCGGCCGAGAGGAAATTATGCAGTTCCGCTGGCGGTGTTGCATGACGCAGGGAAAAAAGCCCCTTACGAGCTGGTAGGAGTTGCATAACCGTTTAAAGGCCAGCCTATTAACGACCTATTCTTTATGTTATCGTTCGCATACCAATAGCGTCCGTTGTGGGTTATCGAGTTCGCCTTTGGCCGTCCGGAAACGAGCCCATCGCGGCCACCTGTGGCAATGTCATCAGTGTATCCAGGTGTTGTTCGAGTCTGTCAGTCGGTCTTTGTACAGGCGAATCAAAACACGCCGGCGCCAGCACTTGTGTACACATGTACTACTTGTCAGGGACTGTGCTTCTCTGTTTATGGATGCACTGTGACATCGTGGGGGAGCGGGCAGCTGCGTTTAAGCCTCGGCACATTGACATCAATTCGTTTAGTATCTCTACAAATAGTGCCGCTGTGTCCGATGACCGTGCCTCGTGCTGACCGTGCCTCGTCCTCGCGCTGACCGTCCCCTCGTTCCCCTGCTGACCGCCCTGAACGTGTGCCCGCCCTCCTGCTGACTGCTGACCTCCCCCGTCCTCCGGCAGCCGACTCTGTGATCCACGGCGAGGACGAGGAGGAGGAAGAGGACTTCACCGCCGGCGGAGACGCCATCAACACGCCCTCGCTGCCCGCCATCGAGCTCGACGCGCCCGCCGTCAAGCTGGAGACCAACAACAACCTGGTGTCGACGCCGGTGTCGGCGCCGGCCGGCGGCGGCGACCCGCTCAGCGAGAAGGCGGCCTCGGTGGGCGCGCCCGACTCGGTGGTCGACTCGGACAAGCACGAGTCGGACCCGGGCTCGGACGCCGAGATGGACGCCGCGCGGGACGCCCAGACCGACGGGAAGACGGCCGACGACGACAAGGTGGGCGGCAACAAGCGGCGCGGCCCGCGCACCACCATCAAGGCCAAGCAGCTCGAGGTGCTCAAAGCGGCCTTCAACGCCACGCCCAAGCCGACGCGGCACATCCGCGAGCAGCTGGCCAAGGAGACCGGCCTGCCCATGAGGGTGATCCAGGTGAGTGACGCGCCGCTGCCGCCGAGGGAGGGGCGCTCGGAGCGCGGACTGCCGCGCTGGTGTGTCGGGTGTGTGCCGAGCTGTGTCCGGTCCTCGCACTCCGTGTTTGCCAGGATCCTTTACGGGCGTCCGATGGCGGTCGCTGTCCATACACTGCCGAGGCGGATCGCTCCACCATGCCATTACCGCCTCTGAATGGCCCCCGTTCGCCACGTCCCATACGTGCACATCGAATGCAAACAGACATTCCCCGATCCATTCGCCAGGGTGCTGTCGCATTGACGGCAGGCTGTGACGGCTCGGGCGGGTGCCGTCAATGATTCGGCACCGTCAGCACCAGGTCACGACGGCGCGCCAGCCGCGTCATGCGCGTCACCGGCGCGCTGCTTTTTGTCGCGGCGCGCCGCTTACGGCAGCATGTCGCCGCCGTTGTGACCCTCCGCAGGGGGTGTGTTTTTGCGCGCGCTGGCCGGCGCGGCGGTCACGTCTGCTCGACTCCGGTTTCTGACGGCGTCACCGGAGTGGCCAGATAAGAGCCGGGCCGCGGCGGCCGGCGCCGGGAGACGGCGGGGGAGTTCGGCCTCACCTCCCGGCGCGCCGCGGCAGAGGCCGGCTCGATCGCCGCCCCAGATTGCATTGTGACCAACAGCTGCAACGCGAGCGGGCCATTACGGATCGGCGGCGGCCATCTGGTCGGCGACGGACGCGCCCGATCGGCGGCCGCCCTTTGGCACCGCCGATCAATTACCGGCGCGGACACCGGGCGCTGTCCGCTGTCCGGCCGCTGGCTGTCCTGCTGTCTGTCCGCTGTCCTGCTGTCTGTCTGATTGTTCAACTGCATCGTTACACGGACATTTAAGAGCCGCCGCACATGTCCGTGACTGCCCCCTCGCGGTGGCCGCAGCTCTGTTCGGAACGTGTCTGTTCTGAGGGAGACGGGTTCGGAGGCCCCGGGCGATACCAGGGAGGCGGATCATGAGCTTGATCTCGTATCAAACGTGAATCAGCCTTACGAGCTCAGGTTTTGAGACGGACCCGACGGCGCCGCAAAAGTCGGCGCCGCGCCGCGGCCGATTGTCATAAATCGGTGCGGGGCGGGGCGACGGCCTGCGGACCGGGCTGGGAACGTCGCCGGCCGACCGCCTCCGCGCGCCGCACCGCGCCTAAATCAGCCGGCCGTTGCATAAGATCGGACAGGGGGCGGCGCCGACCGCGGTGGGAGGAGACTCGGGCGGCGGCAACGGAATTCGCGCCGCGCACGCCCTGCCGCCCCCTCCCGCGATCGGCCGCTGGCCGCCACCCCCGGGGCCCTGAGAGCCGCGCGGCTCCGCGGCGTCTGCCGCTGCACGGAGCCGCCGTGACCGATCCCCTGACATTTTATACACAGCGCGTAAATTCCGACATGGATTCCTGCGCAATCGGCGCCCAGATCGTGTATCTGACGGTCTGATAAGATCCCGGGATTTTTCTCCTGTCGGGTGGCTATTCAGGTGGGGGCTCGGCGCGCCGGCCGGCCCAGCTGCGACACCTAGTTATCTCGCGCATCGGCCGCCGCCACCGCGCAGAAAACAAATGTTAGCCTTTCCCGGCAGCAGCGCGGCCATTTTTTCGTGTGGCGCGCGCGGCGGGGGGCGTGCCGCGGCCTTTCTGACTTTTGCGGCGGTTATTCGGCGTTGTCGCACCTGGCCGGTCGGCGCTGTATCGTATCTCTCCATCGAGCGGCCGAGCGCGTCCGCCGAAAAAAGACCCGTCTATCGGGCACAAACAGTCGCGCCGCGCTCCTAATTTATAACGTTTTTATTTATGCACGCCCGGTATCTGATTGCGGCGGCGGCGCTGCTCGCTGGAGACGGTAAATCGCCCCGTCATGACGCCCGCCCGACCACACCGCCGCGCCGGCGAACTAATCACGCATTCCGCAAATTAATGTGACGCCGCCGCCGCTAGATCTGCCTCGACCACACTCGTCCGCCGGCGGCGACCGGGGTCGGTGAGTCGAGCCGCGTCGGTCGCACACCTACAGGTACACGGTACATACCAGCAGCTGCCAGGGCGGACCGCTCTGTCCCGGGTGGCATGAGTCGCTGTTTCGAGCCGGCGAGATCCGGCCCAGTGGGAGAGCTGCCAACACAGTGATGAGCGGCAGACGGTGGTGTCTGCAGCACGCTCCACCATGCCGACAGGAGCCGCGTTGGTACCGCGCAGACCGGTGGGCTAACTCGGCCGTCCAGCCGTGTCAATGCCTGCTCCGAACAGGATTAAAGCGCAATGATGCATCGCAAAGCCAAATCGGATCTTGTCCCGGATGTCGGGAAGGCATCGCTCGGCTGAGCTGTCTCGTCCGGCTGAGCTCCGTCAGCTCGGCCCGTCAGTCTCCAGAGTCGCCCTCCGCCAGTCTGCTGAGCTCCGCCAGTCTGCGTGGTCAGTCTCCGGAGCAGTCTGTCGGCCCAGTCTGTCGGTGTCTGTTAGCCGGCCGTCTCGGGCTGACGCCGCCGGCGCTGACGCTGCTGACGCTGCTGACGGCCCGTCAGACGGAAGGTCAGCCGTCTGACGGACACACCTCGGCTGTCTGACGGACACACCTCGGGCCGGCCCTCCGCGGTGCGCCCGACGCGTGAACGACAGCCGTCCGTTTTTGCCGCCGTTCTTGTCGGCGTCGACGGGTGCTGCTCGGACGGAGGATCCGCCGGGCGCGCGGCTTCTTTACGTCCGAGCGCGCCGCCGCCGGCACTCCGCCGGTCACGCTCCTCACCGGGCCGTTAAGTCAGCTCATTTTTATGCGCTGGCATAAATTCGCCCGTCCGAGTTTTGACATATGTACTGCGCCCTTGCACTTGCGAAGTGCACGTCTGCTCTGGGTTTGCTGCACATTGCCATAGCTCATAAAGGTATTCGGCGGAGGAGGGCCGCGATATGAGTGCTTCTCCCGGCCTTTTCCCGTCGGCCGTTGGCGGCGGAGCCAGGGACGGAGACGGGCGTACGGACGGGCTGCTGATCGGGCACCCGAACTGGCTGGTGACCCCTGCCTGGGAGGCCGACCGGGCGCCATTTTCCGTCGTCGTCCCTCCCACCGGCGGCGGGCCGGGGGCGCTGCGTGCAGAGGTCGCCGTGCAGAGCAATGGTCGGGACACAGACGACCGGCGCCGTACCGCCCCGGCCGGCCGTCCCGGCACGACTCGCGCGGCCGCGGCGCGGTGCAGAGGCCAGAGCAGCCGCCGGCCATCCCGGAGATCTTCTCACGGCAGCCAGACCCAGATATAGGCGCTCCGAGCGGCGCGCCGAAATTACGCCCTTACAGCGGCCAAATGACCAACTAGACGGAGCTCAAATTAGTAGGGAGTGCCTACTGTTATAGGCCCGGCTACAGCCGTTCTCATGCGATGTTTGTTTGTCACGTGTAGTTCTTTTTTATCAAAGTACCTATTTAGCTTAAAATTTTGCTCTCCTAATCATCAATTGAACATCTTCATCGTTTTGCTCACAAATACCCAAATGGTGATCATTTAACCTTTTTCGTCCACTGGTCGAGTAATTTATTTCGGCCAGTTCCCCGTCACTCCGCAGAGCGACTGTCGTGCTCCGTCCTGCTCAGTCGCCGTGCTCCTCCGAGCCGTGCTTTATCGCCAGGAACAATAGTCTCACAGTTGATTGAGCGGTGCGCTCGGCGGCCAGCAGCGCAGAATAGAGCCATCTCGCGCGCGCGGCGGCCGCTATCGCGCCATCGGCCGGCGCGCGATGATACGGCGCGGCTCGTTCCGCGCGGGACGGGCCGACTTTGTCCGGCGGCGGGACGACAAAAAATGACACGGCGACATGACACGGACACGGCGACACGACGCGGACACGGCTCCCAGCGGCCGCGCGGCGGCGGGTCGGCCGGCCGCGCCGCCTGACCCGCGCCGTGAAAAGGCGACCCTGAGGGTGCTGCCCAGTCGAGTGTGAGACCGATAGGGGCCGTGTGTCGGAGGGGCGCCGGCGCCCGCTCCCCGCCGTGAGGTGACAGGTCCGGCCGCCCTGAAACGGGGACCCAACAGGGGAACTAAGCCCAGCGGGAAACTGCCAGCGGGAAACTGCGGGCCTAACACAGTGTGTCAGCTGCATACCACCGCCCAGCAATGCCTACTGCTGTTGAACATAGCCACCAGTTCACCTCGCTTCATCCTGACGACAGGAGCGACTGGAACGAGTCGTCAGCGTTCCTTCCAATAGCATGACTCTCACCAATCACTCTGCTCACCTCGAGTGTCCGTCACGCTGTCCTCGGCTGGTCGAACACGGCCGGACAGGGGTGGCGATTACTGCGGCTGGGCCGTCGGCAGCCGGCGCCGCACGCACCCGCCGCCGGTTGACCGCAGACCGCAGCCTCGTCACCCCGACACCGCGGAGGGCGGCGCGTGGGAGGGGCGCGGGAGGGGGGGGGGACAGTGCCGTGTGCGGTCCCTGGGTGGGGTCCCGTGTGTGAGATGTGAGGTGTCTACCTGTCCACGAGGTGTGATATCTGTGCGAGAGATGTGGGATGTGAGCTCTGCGTCTCTGTGAGGTGTGAGATTTGTGTGAGAGCTGTGAGGTGTGTGTGTGCCGCCGCGGACAGCCGCTCCGCCGGCGGCGGCGGATGTCGTCCGTCTCTGGCGTCGAGTCGGCGGATTTACAGTCGGCCAGTGCCGATTTATGGGACGGCCCGGGCCGCGGCGTGTTGATCAGTGGCGGCCGCCGCGCCGACGGCCGCTCTGGTGTGGTCTGAGCCGCCGCGGCCGGGGAGATAGTGACACCGTGGCGACTCCCACCCACCGCGGCTCCCAGCGCTGACTCAGCGGCCGCCTGACTCACCGTCTGTGAGTCGGAGGGCCAGTGACGCTCACACTCCCCTGACCCGGTGACCTCAGCTCCGCCAGGTGTGCCTCCCAGAGCCCCCGCTGACCTCGCGCCCTCCGTCCGCAGGTGTGGTTCCAGAACAAACGCAGCAAGGAGCGCCGCATGAAGCAGCTCTCCTCGATGGGCATGCGCGCGCACATGTTCGGCAACCCGCGCAAGCTGCGCGGCATGCGCATGTCGCCCAGCATGGACGAGTTCCCGTTCTACGCGGACGGCCAGTTCTACGGCCACCAGCCGTTCAACGAGTTCTTCCCGGGCGGGCCCAACCCGGGCATGGGCTTCCCGCCGGGAGGTGAGTGTGCAGCACGCGCTGTCCGGGGCAGGAACACAGCGGGCGCCGCCGCGCGCGCGCCGCCAACAATAGAGCCGCGTGGGCGGGGCTGAATGCAGCGCTGGCTAACGTGGCACAATGGCACGGGCGCGCCGCCGGTGACTCGGCACACGTGTCAGAAGCTGGCGATACATGCTGCAGATGAATACCATCAACTTGTATGTTTTATTTTCTTATTTACCACCATTTCTCCTGAACTAATGATCGTAGCCTTTGATTGCTAGCATTAGACAGTAGAGCGGGCGCAGTTCTGCGCTCCTCGTTAGTCAATAGTCAGTGTGTCGTGTGTGTGCGGAATTCCGGACTATACTGACGGCTGACCGGTCGTGTCCGCAGGTCCCGGCGTGCCCGTCTCGATGGAGCAGCCGCTGCCGCCCGGCGGGCCGATGGGCGACTTTGGCGGGATGAACGGCATCCCCATGGATCACCCCTTCATGCCGCACGGCGACCTGATGTCGCAGCGCTCCAGTCCCGACAGCGCCGGAAACCTGGTCAACGGCATGCCGCCCGGCCCGCCGCCTCAGGGTGAGTACCGATTACCGAGTACAGTGCGCCATTAGAGGTCAGACTGCGTACTGGGGGTCAGACCGGACCAAAGCAAGCAGTGCCACCAATGTGGGCTGTGACTAAATCGTGCAGAAAATCACGCTCAAACACAGGCAATCGACAGAAAAGTTAAGTGCTCAGGGGTAAATAAAATCCATTTAAACGACACAGCGCACATTTATGAAGCCTCTCACCAGCTGTTGGGCACTGATTCGGCGGCGCCCAGCGACTGTGCGGCGCCCCGTCCCCAAAGCCGCGCCCACCGGTCTCTCGTGCAGCGTGCAGCCGGCTCACCGCCGGCGCCACCCACTAATGACAGCAATCAGGAAGCCGAAGAAAAGATACCACTTAAATCTAACAAAACTAATTAAAGTTTGATCTGGATCGATTGGGGCCGGTCAGGCGATCCCACCCGGTGCCCTGTGGTTAGTGACGGTCCTGCCGGGGCGCCGGCATGCGATCGTACCCCCCCCCCCCTCGCCTCCGCCCCGATCACAGGGGGGAGGCTGCGTGTGGGGGAGGGGATATCGATCTCGAGCGATTGATCGAAATTCGCGGCCGTGTCCCGCGGTGGCCCCGCACAATGTCCCGCGGCGGCCCCGCGCAATGGTCGCTCGTCGCGGACGGCCGCCGCTCAGTTTGTAAACGCGGCAGCGCGGAGCCGGCGCGGCACTGGCGCAGAACGGCGCGCCGCGTTGGCCGCCCGGCTGTCGGCCGCGCCACCAGCGCCGCGGAACGGGCGCGGTCGGCGGCCGACAAGTTAATTGGCGCCGCAGCGGCGACCGGCGCGCTCCGGTAATGCATGGTGACACGCGTCAAAACGGCCCAATGAATTGTGATGGAGCGCGCGCGGCGGCGCGGCGGGCGAGCCGCTCGGCCGTCTCGGACTGTCTCCAGCGCGTCACGTTTGTCTCCAGTGGCGGTGATGGGGCGCGGTGGGGGCCGTTCTGGCGGCGGAGCGCGCGTGCCGCCCACGTGCGGGGCGCCAGGAGGTCCGATCACCGGAGAACAGCCTCTCGGAGCGCGCTGCCGTGCCTCTCGTACCGTGCTGGTTTCTCACACACCAAACGCGAATATTACCGAGACGTGAACATAACCACAGCGCGGTGCACTCTCCGTGACAGAGTGTGAACACCTCCGTGACCCATATGGAGCCTGTATGTACCCCCACGCGCGGCGCCGGCGGGTGAGCCGACCGTTCTCCCTCACTGACGACCCCGTCTCTCTCCCCGGCAGGTCCCGGCAGCTTCACCGACCACCCGAGCAGCGAGGGCCTCGTCTGGTGACCCGTGCGCCAGTGAGCCGGCCGGCCACGGCCGTCAACACGGCGACACGCACAGTGCAATGTATTGTTAGCGCCGGCCGCGCTCCGGCCTCCCCTCCCTGGGGGCGCCCGCCGTGTCCGGCAGGCGCCCGCGGTCAGACGACGGCCCCCGAGGTCACACGACGGGGCCGGGCCGGCCGGCGGCACCGGTCCTCCGAGCAGGCGCTACAGGTGCAGCATTTCTCCTCCGAGTGGCGCGTAGGTCCCAACGTGGGGATGGCGTTGATATGTTGAATTTGAGTGACATGGTTGACTTGCTGATCTTGCAAAACAGAAAAATATCCCTACATCGGTTGACCTATCTCAAAATAGTAGACCTGACTGGCGCTGCATGAAAATGTGGCGATATTTTTTTGTGAAGTGGTCAGAATGTGACCCATCATCCCTTTTACTGAGCATTTTACACCCTCGACCTAATGATATGGTTCGCCTGACAATCAACATGTGTGTGTGTGTGTGCGGAAATGTTGCATCTCTAGTAGACGCAGTCTAGTACCTACCAGCGGGGCTGCAGGGCTAAGGTATGGAGTGGCGACCTGCCAGCACTGTCCGAGCTAGTTGGACCGTCACGGGGCGCTCGGCCGGGACCGGGGACCCGGCGCCGCGCCGCCGCCTGTACTATAAACCCGTGATCTGTACAGCAGGTACCGTGTAAAAGACGAGCGCGCGCGCCCCTGCGAGTGTGTGCCGTGGCCGTCTCACTGATGTGATGGTTTGTTTTGAGTCCTTTGTTCGGTGTCCGGCAGACCGGACCGGCGGCAGGACACGATCGGGCGGTCGGCGGCCGCAGCGTATATTTAAAGTTTATCTAATGGCGTGGCGTGGTAACTCTATGGTGCATTTGGAGTGAGTGCCAATCTGCGAATAGTGTCTGTTTTGTGCGAGAGAACACGCCGTGTGAATGTGATTTATGTATTTTTGTTGTACATAAGATGTCATTAAATGTTTCTCGTTGTGCAAATGGTGTTTTATTGGGTTAATGACGGCTGAAGATGCACTACATAGAGAAAGAGTTTCAACCGGAGACATATGCATTAACCCGCGCCCCGTAGGGGGGGGGGCCGAAACGGCCCCTCCTGTCCTTTTCGGTCGATATCTCCTAAACGGCTGGAGATATCGCCACCAAACTTTCAGGACCCCTCCGGGCATCAATTTTACACATTGTGACCAAAAATTTTTCCAGAGGCTATGATAGGTTGGCCACAAATGACGTCAGAGTGACGTCATGTTCTGTCATTTTCGACCGAAAAAAGACCTTCGCGAGAAGACCTGTCAGGACTACAGCTTTGAAGATACAGAAAAATGATCAACACATAAAAGGTGTAGAATTGACAGGGCTACAAAATTGCTATCTCGAATTTATGAAATTTTTGAGTTTTGACCCCCAAAAATCAAAAAAGCATTTTTTTGGATATATTCGCCAAAAAATCCAAAAAGTTTTTTGAGTTTCGAAAAAACCGGAATATATGTGATAGTGCCTACCGTCTTCTATCTACATACCAAATTTCAGATCGATACCTCGTTTTTTTGGCCAAGTTATAGCGAAAAAAACTGTTCAAAAATGATGACGTCAAATTTTCAAACTCAATTTTTGGCAATTCTAGAACTCGTAGAGCAAAACGAAGACCACCATTAGACTCCCCGTGACAAGCTGCATCGAATCGATAACCATTTTATGCAAAAATATCAACTTTGAAATTTGACCTAATTTGACCTGACCTTGACCTGACCTTCACCAAAACGTGACCTAGGCTGGCCCCAAAGGCTGCCTAACCCACATAATCGCATTTGTCATGTAAAATGGACCATAAAACATGTATCACACGACACATTCATATTGTGACCCCCGGTGACCTGACCTCGCTGTGACCTGACCTGGTATCAGTGACCTCAGATAGCAAAGTATGTGTTTGACGAACAATGTACCATCGATGTTTAACCCAGAGTTCTGACCAGTCCACTGTCTAGTATCTTCGGGTGACGTTTTATGCGAGTGTTTTTTCCGTCCCCGGGACACTGAGAAAGGCACCCCGAGTGTGCCAGGTACCGGCCCGACAGCGCTCTTCGTAGCGGGATCGAGCAGAGCGTCAGTCGATAAGTGTATTAACTTAAATAAACCCGCTCGTCTAAGCAAAAGACACAAACACGAGGTCGACAATAAATACAACGGGAAGAAAACGTTACCTGGCAACAAACGACACTCAGACCACTCTGTGGCGGGGACGGTCCCTCCCTCTCCCATTTTGTTTTTTTTACAAAACGGCGACGCGGAGCGCTTTTGGCACAGCCTATCCGCGGGCATCTTTTTTCACACAGGTCACAGGTTGCGTAAAATTTTGCCTTTGGCCATCTAAGGTCAGATCATTAAGTGAGGTCACATCATGAAACCTCATTATAAGAAAAATATCTAATCCTGGTCATTGCTGGCTGCTGCATCGACTAAAAGATTCTTTTTAAGATCAAGCGACCAAAAAAAAAAAAAAAGATCACAAAGCTCATAGGTATGTAAAGAATAGACATATCTCGTAGTTTGATATGTATCTGTGGCATAAAGTCAGGTCAATTTTGGGGTTCGTTTTTAAGTCAACGGGGAAAATTAAACTTTTTAGAGGTCGAGTCTATCTGAACACGGTAAAGGAAAGAATGTTAAACACGTTTCCATCGTATAGTCAATTGACAAATGTACCTACCGCAAGCAAACATTTTAGGTGCCTTGTAGTTGGCCCATGCTACGTCATCTAAAGATCATCAACAATTTTGTCATAGTAGTTCAAGACAAAGGTGTAGTTCTGTAGCAGCGATTCGATTCCAATGCATTGGATGAGTTTGTGTATAAAACATAGTACGAATAGACTTGTCTGATAACGGATAGACTAATAAACATGACCTTCTCCGGTCAGGCCTTTTATAAGCACTGGTTATCCTATTCCTGACAGAAGATTATTCAATGCACTGAGGCCAGTTTTAGCAACATAAAAATCGACGGCAGCGGTTATTTTGCCCAATCCATTCACTCATTCATTCATTCATTCGTCCATTCATTCATACATTTATTTATATTTATTTCGCACCAAACATTGGCAAATTTCCAATAGCTGTTAACTAAGTCAGCAGCATTGGGATAAACCGTTGCGTGTCCCCACGGTGCTTAGGTCACAGCCTCCGTCGGGACGTGGCAGGTCAGCAATCGTATGCGATTGATTCGCATCGCCTACTGTAGTAGGCGATGCGAAGCCCAAGAACCGAATGTGGCACCCAAAATTGGCTATCCACGCGGCAAAAATGGCACTGATGTGAAATATAATATCATCAAGCCTAACTGATACGTTTTCACATAATCCGTATTTCTTCGCGTGGTTGGTTTAAATTGTGGGAGACTTGAAGAAATGGAAATACCGGCAGCCGGCAACTTTTCTGTTGGTAAAACAGCCCTCTGGTCACTGGTCAGCTGCGATATTCGGTACCACACGGTTTTGAGAAACGGTGCCTTTGGTGCCTTATTTTTTTAGTTATATCTAAGTCCACATGACGCAGCATGGTATTGTTTTAATAAAGCTGGGAAAACCAGTAACACCGATGTTTTCTTACAAGGTAAAGTATAGATCAATCTTCAAGTACCTACAAAGTTTTGTCGGACAAAATGCGATTTTTTTGGGGGGGGGATCAATACAACCAACAAGTGAAATCCCAGCTTAGTGGATCGTGAGGCGGAAGTAGGTATCTGTCCAAAATGCTCTCCAGCGTTTGTCAAACAGCATGAAAACACGCCCGGAGGCGCGGGTGTGCCGGCGGCGGCGGCCGTCGGTCTCAGCAGAGGGGAGCGCCGCCGCCGGCAGATTGCCGCATTTCGATCAAAGGCGCGGCACTGGCGGCGGCGGCGGCGGCGGCGGCACTCCCCCGGGAGCCGGACCTGTTATCGACGCCGCTAGCCCCGCCGTCCCCCTGGAACTATCCGGCACCGTTTTATCTGCAGCGACACTGGTCGCCGAATCGACTATTATTCAACGAAAGCGACGCGACCGTATCTGGCGCCTGATCGGCGATTAGGGAATAATAGCGCGCCGGAGGGATTTCACCTCTATTTATTTTCCTCGTACATCATGCTCAAAAAGTCCCCGGGCGGCCGGAGCGCGCTGCCGCCGTGGAACGAATTCGCCAACTGACGACCTGGCCGGCCGGCACAAAGGCCAGTCCGCCCAAATAAAGTCACCGTAATCCCGGCTCGTCGCGGCTTTATGCGTGCCGGCGCCCGGCCGCCGCCGCGCCCCTTCCACAATCATAAAGCGGCCATAAAGGCGGGCGTATTCCGCCGGTGACGCGTGCCCCGCATTCTTCGATTAGTTTCACATTGGTGTCCGGCGGCCGACAATGTCGCCGAATCTCAATAACGCCGCCCGCGGGGCCGGTTCAGTGGGCAGGCGATGGCGCGGCAAAACGCTGCAATGGCTCCGAATCCGGGGCAGTGAGGAGCCGACTTTCAACAGCCCCTCCACAACAGGCGCTGTTCGATTGCAGGCGTTCTTTAGACTAAGGTAGACAGACATCGTGCATGATATAGGATCATGCGTCTAGATAATTGCTCTAATTAAGACGGATCGGCATTGTGGTAGCCAGCACAACCTTATATTCTTCGTTTTATGGGCATGGAAATCTGCAGTATCATTGGCATAACACTGAAATAAAATAATTAAGTTGTGAAGCACACATGATGGCTCACAACAACTTCTTGCATAAATACATGGGGAAACGCCCTGAGCCTGAGAAGTTCGCGGAGACAGGCGGACTCGTCCGGCGTCGGCGACAGTTTCTGAGGAGTCTGCTTCTGCGACACATTACAAACTGCCGTCTCTAATTGAGACAGCCCATCTCGGCAGCGGCGGCGGACCAACTCCGCCTCCGGACGATGAGCAAACTTGTCCGTGCGGCCCGCGTCGCACCCGCCGGCCGCCCAGGCCGAGATTGTCGCCCGTCGGGGCGAGTTCCGAGACAGAGTTTGTCGCCGGACGGCCCGAGTTCAGATAGAGTTTCTGTCCGGACGGCCCGAGTTCAGATAGAGTTTGTCGCCGCACGGCCCGAGTTCAGATAGAGTTTGCTGCCGGACGGCCCGAGTTCAGACGGAGTTTGTCGCCAGACGACCCGAGTTCAGACAGAGTTTCTGTCCGGACGGCCCGAGTTCAGACAGAGTTTCTGTCCGGACGGCCCGAGTTCAGGCGAGTTTGCCGCCGGACGGCCCGAGTTCAGACAGAGTTTCTGTCCGGACGGCCTGAGTTCAGGCGAGTTTGTCGCCGGACGGCCCGAGTTCAGACTGAGTTTCTGT